CATGGCGAGAATCAAGGAGCAGTAGCTGCACCGGGAGGCCCACAAGGGTAAGAGGACATACAGGAGTAGAGCACAGGAAAGGCGCGGAAACCAAGGCCAGGGGGTTGGAAACACTCACTCATGAAAGGATTGAGAAGGGAAGAGCAAAGCTAAAAGGAAATACAGTAGTGAGAACGGCTGGCTTTCTTTAAAAATTCAGGATATACATATTTGTGGGTTTCTCCAAAAAGACTGAGCAAGGCAGAGTGGCACATGCATATAGTCCTAGCTACTGGCATAAAATTTCAGTTGTGTAAAATGAGTAAGTTCTAAAGATTTCTGTACACCGTTGTATTTTTAGTCAACATGGTACATTTAAAAATTTTTAAAAGAGTAGATTTCATGTTGACTGTTCTTGTCATGATAAAGAATTCAAGAGATATTAATGTATATTTTAGTAGGATATAAACACACACTCAAGTGCATATTATATTACTGTGTCATTAGAGAAGTGTGCCAATCTGAGTCTATTTTCTCCAGAAAATGTTTCTGATAACTAAAGACAAGATGCACATCCCTATGTTCTCTTGGGGGGTATCTAGATGCCACCTTCTTGAAGTCACCTCCTGAGGGTTGGGGGCATGCCCTTCTCCTGTCTTCTAGGGGCAATATATTGCTTCAAAGAGTCAGGAATGTGTTAAATATTAGGCAAAAGCATGACATGAATGAGTCAGGAATGAGTGAAGGCAAGAGGACTAGAATCTAGAAAAAGAGGTCAGAGCTCAGATTGGAGACCACTGTAGGTTAAGAATGGCAAAATGTTTAGCCACACTCCAACACATCAGCATGAGACCACAACTATGTACAAAATAAATCTCACACCCCTACACCCAGAAAGAAAATAGGTGGAAGGAAAGGTCATTGGGATGACAGCTGGAGAGTAGACCTATGAATAATTCATATTCCTATTCTCTCTCTGATTCTCTATTTCCCACTCTCTTTCTGGCACGACAGGAAAGTGCTCTACAACTGAGCTAAACCCACAGCCCAGGAGCGACGGTTTTCCCTGTATGCTTTCTGTACTTACAATGTTTCTGCACAAGACTCGAGCTCCTTTGTTCTCATTCTCACCCTGTGTGTAGAAAGCTGTTTCCTGACCTATAATTTAGCCTATGATGGACTGGTCCACTAGGAAGATGGGTAATGTCCTGTACAAATGGCGCCCCACGGTCCAATCCTCTTCTATAAGCCCTGCCTATGAGTTCATCAGGCTTGGAGGAGGCATTCTGGATATGTCATAAAAAATACTAATAACCACTTACCTACAATGGCAGATCAGCAAGGGTGGACCAGGTCTAGAAATAGTCCTATCTGTGCTGAGAAGCACAAATATGGTACTGGGCTTGGAGCAACCATGCCAAGGTTGATACAGTCATGACAGAGTCAAGAAAACACAATAGCAGTAATAAAGACAAAGGAAAAACTCTTGCGCCCCTAAGCTATTACTCACTGAAAGCATGATTTACATTTTTTTTTCTAAGACAATCTGGGCCTTAAGAGCAATTTTTACTAAAACCCACGACTCTTCACTGGAGCTTAACTAAAAGTAGGACAATGCTTAGCCTTCATTTTCTGCAACTCTGGGTCAAATCCTTTTCAGCTCCTCATACAGGCATGTTAGTCTTTCAGGGATTACCTGCCTAAAAGTTGGCAAAACAAGGTTTATCAGCCATAAATTTACCTAGCTTATCTCATTACCCAGCAAGACACCAGGATTAGAGATTTATGGGAACATTTAGCTACACCCAGAATCTCCACCGCCTTAGGCCTATGACTTTCAGCAGAGCCTCACATGACTGGGACTGTAAGCCATGAGGACCCCATCCATGCCAACAGAGAGGGACCAAGTGGCCTCTCGACCACCAGGATTCACTACAAAATCAGATTTGAACTACAAAATCAGCACTGACTTATGACTAACCAGACCTCAGCTGCTGCAGTACCCCACAAAACTGTTCTCCTTCCTTTGGTGGGTGGGTCACTGATCTTCATCAGAGTCAAGCTGGAGTCCTTTCTCGATCCTACCTTCTAATTAAAGCTTTTGCCTGTCAGTTCATGCTGTTGCTTTATTTTTAATTTCCATTATCACTAAAGCATGCTAGCTGGCGACTGCTTGGCCCTGTAAAGCTCAGCCTCTTTGGCAAACCAGGTCCTGGTGTTCATTACAGAAACCTTTGCATCTTTCCTTCCTCTGTGAAGGTTTCTCCATTTCTTCAATGGATTGTGGGGCATGGGAGAGAGGAACAGGAGGAGGAGAGAGGAGGAAGCAGGAGTTCTGGAACTCAAATCACCACAGCAGAACTGTACACCCATCTGGAACACTTCAATAATCTAACTTTACTGTGTCTGCCCTGAAAGGGACACAAGGAGATGGCAGCCCATTGGGGAGCTCTGGGCAGAGTACCTGCCACTATGAGATAATAAATAGCAGTAATTAGATCTTCCTGGAAAATAGATGAACATTGTTATTAAAACTTTTATTACCTATATATTTTATACGAGTCCGACTGCCTCCAGCTGCTATAATTTGGAAACAATGAGGATGAAAGTAGAAATAATAATAATGAATTAAACCACAAACACATCTGTGCCTGGGGAAGGTGGGGGCTGCTTCACAGATAGGACCCTACATCAGGGACCCTGACATTCTGCTGTGGTCTGCATAAGGCAGACCCAGACCCCCAAAGTTTGGAATGGGCCCAGAATGCACCCACAACCCACTTGTCTCTTAAAAACCACCCCCAACCAGAGCAGGTTCCTAGCAAAATGTGGGTAATTCCTCTCCTCCTCACTGCGTTACAGTGAAAATCATTACCTGTGCTCATAGCTTCTTTCACTTCAGAATTCACCTGACTGTTATATATTCATGGACGGACAAGACAATTCTCTCCTACTATTTAATGAAGCCCATAAAAAGTAAATGATGTATCACATTTCATAAATCAAAGAAAAAAAACCCCACAAGGTTCACTACAGATGGTGCTAGGTGTTGTGAGTGTAGACAACCTTGCAGCCTGGGCTGAGGGGGGAACCATATACAATTATGGGGCCAAGTGTTGCCCTTAGAAGCTTCTTTTCCAGTTTGGACTCTGACCTTGAGTTTTTAGGTTCCATTCACTCTGCAAGCCCTTGAGAGTCATTTTCATTGCCAGGCCACGAAGGTAGATGCTGCTAAGGTTGGGGTTTCATGCACAGAGCAACTCTCCTTGCTCTTCAAAATAAATTTTTTTTTAATCACTCTGCAGTCACTTCAATACTGTGCTGGGAGTGAATCATTAACTAAGACTTGAACATCCCCACACCCCAGCTCCCTTGCAGCTTATTCTAATACGGTGGCAGCAGCAGTAGTGAAAAATTTTTCTGGCTAAGCCAAGGGCCCCAGGGACCAACAAGGCCACATCTGCTGGCTCTTTGCACCTCCTGGTATCCTTGGGGTCTCCTTAGAGACCCAAAGCACTTTAGACTCTACATGTTTACTAAATTCCTAGATGGGAGGCAGAAAACTAGAGTATCTTTGGACTTATGTTTACATTGCTTTATTTATGCTAATTTTTCCTCCTATGTCCATCTTCCTTTTAGGGAGAAGGATTCCCCCAAGATAGCCACCAAGTTCTGTTTCCTGTGCCCCACAATATAGTAGCTAAGTGGCCTCCTGGACTTCTAGGGACCACTTAAAATAGCCAGAAACATTTAAAAATAAAATGTGCTGTGGAAAACTCTCTAGGACCCCAATCATAAACATGCATGACTCAAGTGTACGTGACTCTTGTTTTCTGGCTCAGATTTTGATAACTAAAAGACAGCAATGATGAATGAGACCTTACTTCTGCCACAACCTCCATCCCCAACAAGCTTCTCATTTCATCTGAAACACTGTAAGTGACAAATGTCAAAGAAGGAAAAAAGTCATCTATTCTGTCCTTGCTCATCTTAAAGGACAGTTGTTTGTAAACACTCTTTCATGCCGCTCCAGTCTTAACATGATCTCTTTTTTGGGACAGGAAATAAACACAGATCCTTAGCTTTCTGAAAGGCTTCCATTGTACAAAGCCACAAAGCCTTATGACTCCAATCATTCATGGATGCTTTCTGCGTGAGGCCAGGCCACATGAGCCTTGTTAGGATGAACAACGAAGAACTTCCTTGTGGGGGAAAGGTCTGAAGACTCTCATGGTTAGAGAAATGAGATTCTCATATCTCCCCCCGCCCCATACCAGGGATTGAACTCATGACCTTGTGCTTGCCAGAGATGTTTTGTTTCTAGCCAAGAAGCAGCTTTAGCCCTGGGAAAACCAACTGGCATCAAAATTAGCACACATGTCCCAGGATTTGGGGCCCTGCTGTGTTTCTGAGATAAAGGGTGGGAGAAGCATTGGAGGGATCTGCTGAGTAGCCCATTGTCTCTCAGAAAATATGCTGCAAAACACTTATTACATTCCCCGTTATGTCTACAAACCTGACTTCTCAGTATTCACTCAAAATTGTGTTTTTTTGGTTGTTATTGTTCATTTGTTTTCTTCCTGTACTAGGAATTGAACCCAGCTCCTCTGCACTGAGCCAAAACTCCAAACCCCTACCCACTTTCAGACGGGATCTTGCTGAGTCACTAAGTTGCCCAGGCTGGGCTCAAACTTAAGAACCTCCTGTCTCAGCCTCTCAGAGTGCTGGGATTATAGCATGTGCCACTGTTTCTAATTCTTAATCAGAGTTGTTATTGTTTTTGCAATGCTAGGGAACCCAGAGCCTTGGTTATTCTAGGTATGGGCTCTACCACTAAGCTATATCCCTAGTCACCTAACTCTTCTTCAAACGTGGCATCAGTGGTACTAGGAGGAACACTGATTCACCCTTCCATTTCCTTTGCATCAAGAACATTTACATTTTCCATGGACATTCAAGGAGAAATTCCAGCCATCCTCAACTTCCCACCTGTTCCCCAACCCCTCTTAGGCAGCTCTTACCGGTGCCTCTGCGTCCTGACTTCTCTGCCCCTCTGCTGTCCTTCCTGGGTTCTGCAGGCAGGGTCACTTTCTCCGGCTCTCCAAGGCTGGCATCGGGCATGTAGGCCAGAGTGAGACTCTGCAGCAGTGGCTTCCTGGGCAGGGGTGGCTTGGAACTGGGCTGCTCGGGGGGCCGCGCCTTCCCCTTTCCCTGGCTGTTGGGAGACCTGGCACCTCGAGGTGCAGGGGCCATCCCGATATGACCCTGCTCATCTTTGGGGAGCAGGGCCAGTCCTCCCCTTTCTAACCTGACCTCAGCACTGTGTCTCTTGATGCCCTTGGCTTCCTGGGAGGGGCCCTCTCTGTACTTGAGGGACAGGGAGGTGGACCGCAGCTTGACAGGGAAGGAACTTTTGTCCTCACATGGGGGTTGTTCCACAGTGGCCGGACAGGGCTCGCCCGTGCCTGGTACGGTGACCACAATGTCCCTTGAGTCTTGAGACTCTGGCTGTGCTGGCTTCTGAGGGTCTGATTTTCGAGTCTGGGGCTCAGGGAGCATGTGGAGGTCATCGAGGGCCGCCTCGCTCCTCCAGGCCAGGCCAGTGCGTGCCAGGGGCAATCGGATTGCAGAGACAGTGGGGACAGTGGGACCTTGAGGGCGAGGGCCTCCCGGGCGCTGCCGTGCCCTACATGATGACACTGAGAATTTCTTCACACCCCTCAGCTCCCCACCAGCAGCACCACGTTCAGTTTTCCGTCCCAGCGACCCCCTCTCAGGACCGCCCTTAGGGGACTCTGTGTGCTCAGCCTTAGGGCGCTCGGGGGACACAGCCGTGTTGCCCAGGGCTTGCAGGCTGGGCTCCTGCAGAGGTGACTCTGTGGTGGGTGCTGAAGATACACTGAGGTCTTCGGCCACTGTCATAGCTCTGTGCTTCAGGCAGCTCTTGGGCCCTGGAGGGCTCAGGGCTGGGATCACCACAGGCTCTGTCCCTGCTCCCTTGGGGCCAGGCAATGCCAAGGTGGGTTCTACCTCCTGCTGGACACTTTGATCTGGACTGTCTGGATTACAGGGTGTCTCCAAGGTGGTGGCAATGACAATCTCAGGAGGTGCTATGTCATGAGGTGCTGTTTCCACCGAGGGGACACTGGTAGATGATTCACTTTCTACATCTCCAGAAGCACAAACCATCTCTTCATCTCTGTCCCTGGCTGGGGGACATGGGCTTGCAGTGGACAGTTCCTCCTCTTGGATTTCAATGTTAGGTATGGGGTGCAGAGAGCCATCCGGTAGAGACAGGGACTCCACGCAGGGGGCTAGGACTGCCATGGGCTCAGTGATCTCTGGGGTGGCCGGGCGGCTTGAGGGGACATCCCCAAAGGAGCTCCCCTCCTCCATACTTGCACTGAGTGCTGAACTGTGCTGCAGGCGGGCACGTCTGGCACGGGGTCCCCCAGGCACAGGGTTTCTGTCCATCGTTAAATCCTGTTGCTCAGAGCTGAGATTCTCCTCTGTGTTGACTTTGGGCACTGGCTTCTCATCATATTCCTCCTCCTCGGGGGTGCAGATCAGGTCACTCAGGGATTCTGACTGTGCCCGCTGGGAGAAATAAAGATAAGAGACTATTGCTGCCGCAAATATTAGGAAGCTGAAGACTTCCATCTTCCTGAAGGCTTTCTGCTGAAAGCAGTGTGCCCCTGATGGTGGGACTGACTTAGACATTCACACACAAGTGTACTTTCTTAATCTCTCCCTTAGCAGTGGTCTATTTGGACGCTTTGCTCATACATTCTTGAGGACCCTCAAGACATGTCACTAACCTTGTGTGGGCCAGCCACAAAATCAGCAGGTACTGCTCATCAGAGTGACATCAATGGCAGCTGAGTATCTGCGCTCTACACTTATTTCATTGGATCCTCCATTCATCCCACAGAGGAAGTGACCATCCCCTTTTCTGCACTTGGATAAGTAGGAGCTCAGAGGTATCAAAACCTGGGTCAAGAGCACCTAACTGATAGGCAACCAGTGGCCCAGGGGACCAGCTGGGGCTCTTTTTGTGCTGCCTCAGAGTCGGTGTCCCATGTCAACATCTCCTGCCAGAGTCAGGCTGGTTCTCCTAAAGGACCATTCATACCACCGCTAACACTGGCAACAGCTCACCACAGCTTATAGAATAAGATCCAAACACTTCAGCTCCATTTAATTCATATCCTCCAGCCTTGTGCTGTTTTCCCCACTGCAGTCAAATCAAACCTAAGGCCCCATACAGGGGTCAGGGCAGAAAGGAAGTGTCCATCTCTGTCTGAGACCTGGGTCTTGCCTCGTCACAGCCTTGTCACAGGTATCCGGAGGCGCTGCTTCTCTTAACGTGGAGTTACAACACTCCCTGCTTCTGGCACTGCCTGGGTTGGACTGAGGACCAACTGGTATTGTGAAACATGGATACAACCATTTGTGGGTGTTCTGCTTTTACTGAGCCTGGACCCACACACAGCAAGGTTCCGTGCAGCAGTGTAAAATGCTGCAGTCACAGCCCAAGGTTCCCAACTTCTGCTGTGGTGGGAGCAGCAAAATACGCTCAAATGTGTATTTTAACTTCATAATAAACAACATGATATTGCTGGCCAAGTTTTTACTGTGCAAGATGGGGTTTTTAAGATAAGAGCCCTTTTTATTATTTTTTTCCAGAGCTCCAAAAGAGTCAGAGCCTTGATGTCATGGAGACATTGACTCCTTGGCGACACAGCAGGACTAGGAAGAGACTGCAATGGAGACTGAGCATATATGAGCTTGGAGGAAGGGGCGTGAAAGAGTGGGTGATGGAGAGAAGGGGCCCAGCTGCTACAGGGGATCGAAGAGCAGGGCAAAGCAGACCTCACTGTCCTGTGAAGCTCAAAGGGACAACAAGCCTCCACAGATGTGCCGGGGGCAGGAGGGGGACAGAGGGGATGGCATGCAGCTCTTCTCATCCTTGACTAGGAAGGAAGCATCTCAAAGCAGTTGAGCCCCAAGAGGGGCCAGGGCAGGGAAGAAGGACCTCAGGATGGAAGGGCAGAGGAGGCTGTGAACACTGATGGACAGAGATTTACCAACTTGGGACTCAACAGCGAATGGAGGAATAGCAGTGACCCCTGGGAAAATATGGACACTGCTGAGAATTTAAAATAACCACACCTTCTCACTATGAAGCAGAGAAGGGGAAAAGGGATAGGAGAGACATAGAAAATAGAGAGTTTAAATTGACTTACGACCCTGTTGAATGTTTTCCTGAAAGTGACTACCTCAGTTTTTCTGTTATTCTACAAAATAGGATTCAACAATGAAGTCAAATTCAAAAGTCAAGAGAGAAGCTTGCAGCTCTGTGTCAGGAGAGCAAGAGGGACTACTGTGTTATATCTTGAGGACAATGCCCCCAGGTCCTTTCAGGCTGTGGCTGATTACACACACCCCTGCCCCATCAGGCAAGGGAGAAGACAACCTACATGGACCACTAACCCACCAGCACCACAGGGCCAAAGTACCCCATGAAGCAGGTGATCAGCTTTCAGAACCATGACATGCTGATGCTCCCTGACCACACGCCCAAAAAAGAGTCGTGTCCTCATGCTACTGAGCAGGTCCTTGTCCAAGACAGTAGTTTCAGCTTTTTCCGTCATTAATTCATTCACCCATTCATTCCTTTGCTGGTGCACTCATTCATCCACTTACTAAACATTTACTGCATACCAGCTCTGTGACTATCACAGAGGCCAGAAGTTGAGCTGGGGATAGGGCTCAAAGTGAGCACATTCATTTAGGAAGGTCACTTCTGCCTGCATCAAGTCCTCTGAAGGAACTGAAACGTCCCCCTGAGGCTCTCTGGGGACAGGAACTCTGCGCTGAGCCCCCAAGGCTGAGAAGAAGCCAGCCAGGAGCACAGCATCAGGGGGAAGGAAAGATGGGAAGAAGTGGAGTGGGGTGCATCAAGCTTGCCCATTCAGTGCCTGTGCAGAGGAGGAAGCCTGATTACCGAAGAGAGCCGCCTCATTTTACTTGATCGCTGGTTTCTTGGCTTAACCAGGAGCTTGTGCTTGGCTGCAGAGTTGTCCAGGCAGGAGGAGGACTCTGGGGGGTGGCTGAAGTCAGCCACGGGTGCCAGGCTGCTATCAGAGGTCCGGGAGGAGACGATGGCATCGCTCATGTGATCTGGAGACTGCGGCCGGGATGAGGACACTAAGCAGACCTTCACAGGATGAGGAGTAAACATAACAAGCATTAACTTCATGGCTAGATATGCAAACAGCCCTTCATTGTGTCCTGCATGGTCTGTGGGCTTTATCTGGGAAGGGACCTGTCCAGTCTGGCTCTTGACAGGGAGCATTCCAGGATATGACCACAAAGGTCATATGCATGTCTGAAAGTGCCACAGTGAAACACCATTTTGTATAATTACTATGCACTCATAAAATAAAAAAAAAATGTGAAAAAAAGTAAGCCAAATAAACAGGAATTCAAAGTGTTGGGCCAAATCCTGGACACCTGCATCCCCTGCCTGAGACACAGCAGACCACATGTGACCAGGCTTCCCTAGCAGGAGGACCTATGTGCTCTCCCTCTCACAGCTACTTTGTCCAGTGCAACAGTCCAGCCCAATGTGCAAGGGCAGAGGAACCTGCACTGTCTCTGGAAGCTGAGAGGCTGGCCCAGAGGTGGGAGTTTAGAGACTGGGGCACGGAAGGTGCCAAACCCCACCCATCTTAGTGGAGCACTGTTTGTTCACTCTAAAAAGTCTCTGCATCCTCCTGGAGAAGTCTGGCTTAAAGTTGCCATCTGGCAATTTACAGATATGCTACTGTTTATACCTCAGCAGGAGGAAATGATAGTCAGCAAAGAGCAAATGTGTTCTCAGTGTGGAAGGAGCCACATGCAAAAACACCTGTCCACCAAACGTGGTGAGCTCCTCCACAGAGCAGGCACTAAGTGGGTTCTTCTGCAAAGCTTTTGTGTGTGCGTGTGTGTGTGCGTGCATGCATGCACATGTGTGTGTAAAGCACCTGGCACACTAGTGGCACACTCAGCCCAGAGAAGGATTGAGGTGCAGGGGGAGAATCCGGGAGGTGCTAGGCTTTGGGCAGAACTCTGTGATCCTCAAATGAACCAATCAACCAACCAATCAACCAGTCAACCAACCAAGTAACCAACTAGCCAACCAACCAACCAACCTCTCTGTTTGAACGTGGTGCTCTGTATCAGTGTCATAGTTACATTTTAATTTAAGGATATAATTTTGGTCATCACACAATGATTTAGTAAGTTCTTCTGAGCATAGTCTCTTCTGAAAAGAGCCAGTGCCACCCCCTGCCAGTGACCTCTAGGACCACAGGAGAATCTTTCTTCACTTCCTCTCCATGACCCTGGAGCCCTGAATACAGCAGGTGGTCAGCAACTTGACTGAAGTGGATGATATTTTTAAAGAAAACAGGCCCCAACTCAGAGACTATCCCTGCAAAGGGACAACCTAAGAACTAATTTTCCCTGTTCACATTAAGGTCCCTTCTACTGACCAATGGAAGTCTTACACTTGTTTTCTGTAATCTGCTCAAATGAGGGAGAATGGATCAGAAGTAGATATAATCTATTTTAGCTCTCTCTTAGCTAGCCAGATACTTGTGGGAATAAAGGAAGAAAATTGTTTTAAAATGAAGTTTCAGGCCTCCTGGCCATGACTATACTTAATGTCTGTAGCTTTGGTTTCAACAATGTAGCTGCTTACTCAGGAAGTCACCTTAGATTGGGCAAGTGACACCTTTCCTGGATAATCCTTCTCAGGGTTCATAAGCAGAATACAATCATACAGAATCTTTGATTTTCACCCTTGTGTAGAGGAACCATGTAGAGAGACTTAGTATGAAATATCTTTTTATCTTGGCCTGAGACTAAAGAGAACAGATCGGATGAGGTGCTTCTGCAAATGCAAATTCCACAGGTGAGAACATCATGGGCCTTGGTTACCCATTTATCAACCTTATGTCCTGCCCCTCCTCTACCTGGGTCTCCTGTGTCTGTACTACCTAGGCAGTTGGGCTGAGGCTCAGGCCCACCTCAGCCCCTTGGCTGAAGACCTTGCCATGGAGCCTAACTTCCTCAACCTCTGTCCCTTGCAAACCCTGCACCAATGTCACAGCTGATATCCATCCACCCCAGGGAACTCAACTCCTGTAGCCTCAGAACTCTCATTTCTTACGTCTGTCCCCATGATTGTTCTGAGAGTTTTCAGGGCTAGGAAAGACCAATGTCACAAGCGAGAATCATGAGTTTTGCTTTTGGTCCATGGTGTGACCACACAGGGTGGAGTGGACTGGGGCCTCTCTGGGTGCAATTCCATGGTGGCACCCACAGGGCATCCACGTCTGCACTGATTGCTCCCAGTCACCCAGTCTTTCCTGAAGTCTACACTAGGCAATTCTGGAAGCAGAGAATTTAAAACTCTGATATGTGGTCTTCTGTTGTAGAGAATGTGGCTCAAAGGTCCTTGAAGAAAAGGCTTGGGGTTCAGGAGTTTTCAGGGGACCCTCGGGTGGGAGCTGGTTTCCAAAACTTGTCCTCAGAAAGAAGATTGGCATTAGCCACCCTGGTCTCGCTTAATTTTCCCTCAAATTCTCTGTGTATACAAACTTCAGGTGACAAAGATGCTAAGGCTTTAAAAGCTGGAAACTTAGAATGTGACCAGTTAGGGATATAATCTTAACACAATCCCATGAGTTAATTCGCATGGCAACGGATTTTTTAAATACTTCCTGAAATACTCACTTTGTCAGGAAATATTACCTTGGCTATGTCAACAAATATGTGATACTAAAGACGTTTTTTTCCCACAATGATCTTAAGTTTCCTTGTCAAGCATGTGGGCCCGGGGAAGGGGTCACACAAGATAAAATCACACAGCCCATAGTCTTATCCTCTTGGGACTTGAGACACCTTTGTATTAAATATTAAATACCATGCGTTATATAAGCACATTTTAAAAGGCTGCATTGTTTTTTTCTTCTCAATTGGCCAACTTTTGCAGAAAAAAATCTTTCTGGAAACAGAATGCAATGACTGGATCTTTAGAATCACAATGGCAAATATTTTATAT